GACCCCCCCCCGGGGGGGGTCCCCCCGCGGGTGCTGCCGAGGAGCCTCTCCGGGGCCGGGAACGCGAGCCGGTGGGGACGGGGGCGGCGGGTGAGGCTCCCGCAGCGGGATCCCGCCGTGCGGCCCTCTGCCTACCCGGGGGCGGCGAGGGGGGGGGGATTCGCGAGCACCAGGCCGGCCCTTCTCGGGACGCGCCACGGCCGTCTTGCCAATTAACTTCGTTAACCAGGTGCCGTCTGCAAGTTAGCACCCGGTCAAGCCCGTCGCGGGCTCTCGGCGAAGGCGGCTGTCGTCTTGATTTTGGAAAGGATAAGTGGGGGGAGGCCGGGGGGAAAGGTAGGAGTAGTCCTCACGCTTCCCAGATTTCCTCCCTGCCGCCTTCTCACGTGCCTTCCTGCCCACAGGGATACCCACCCACCACCCCAGGGTCTACAACATCCACAGTCGAAATGTCACCAGGTACCCTGCCAATTCCATCGTTGTCGTTGGAGGCTGCCCGGTCTGCAGGTATGTCACCGGCCGGGGGCTGTCCCCTCCCCGTCCCCCATCCCGAGAACACACACCCAGAATCTCAGTTCGAAAGTGGGCTAGTCTTGTCTCGGGACAAGCTACTGACCTGTGGTGTGGGGGAGAGAGGGTTCTTTTGTCCTTAGATCTAAACACGTCGCACGGGTCATAGGGGAGGGGTTCACTTTCCTGAGGAGAGTGCTTTTGGGGCCACCGAGTCTCAAATGAGTGGGATGTAGAAATGTTAATGTCTCATGTCCCTGGTTCTAGGACGTGTAAGTTTGCTTTGCAGTTGATTCTGGAAGGTGGTGAAAGGTTTCATTTTGCTGGGAAGGGGCAGCTAGGAAAGCCCCCGTGGCCAGTGTGTTCAAGGAGCGGGGGGTCCAGGAGGCCAGGGGAGCACCCTCCTTGAGGGCTGCTTCATCCCCTGCAGGGGGGTCAGCTGGAGGAGGCCAGAAACACCGGGCTTCTTTGGGGGCAGGAGCGATTTTTCCGTATTCTCAAACCAGAGCCTCTGGAGTTTGGCAGGTGTCTGTAGGAGTCAGACTCGGGTAAGACTTGGTCCTTGCCCTTGGTTGATGCGAGAGAGTCCAGGTCAGCCCCTTGAGTGGGAGGAGGAAGTTGGAAGTCTCAGAGATGGAATTGAGAAACACTGGTTTACACTTAGGCTTCGTGTCACAGGTGTATCTGGAAGGCCCAGGGTGGAGTCAAGGGGAAGTTAAAGGTTTCAGAGTCGCCGGGGTAACGAGTGGGGGGTGAGTGCCGTCCAGGAGGAGGGGCATCGCAGAGATGAGGGGAGGAGGGGGACTCCCAGAGCCAACTGAGTACTTAGCAAAGAGGGCTGTGGGCAGGGGGCCCTGGGGCCGTACGTAAACTCAGAAGAGGCATCTCTCTTTGTTTTCTGGGTTTTTTCAAGTTTATTTATTTACTTGGAGACAAAGGTTGAACATGTGACCCAGGGAGGCGGGGAGAGAGATTCCCGAGCAGGCTCTGCACCATCAGCTCGGAGTCAGCGCTGGGCTGACCTGGGGCTCAGACTCACGAAGCACGAGATCACGACCCGAGCCAAAACCAGGAATCCAACACTTAACCGGCCGAGCCACCCAGGCGCCCCTCGGAACAGGCCCCTCTTTGATACGCCTTTGGAGGACACGGAGGGGGCGGGTGGAGGGCGAATGACCCGCACCCTCCTGACCGCCCTTCTCTTCTTGGGCACCTGGGGGCGTCACAGCTGTTGGGGTTTAAGGGCCCAAGGGCGGGAAGAAGGCCTGTGGCCTGGGCGCTGGCAGCATGCTGCTGGGCTGAGCAGGGATGGGGACTTGGTCCCCGGTGTCCCGGGGGGTTGCTTGTAGAGGTGGGTGAGGGGAAACCCGCTGTGTTTGGCTTTGAGGCGGTCCCGGGTGCTCAGAGCCCTGGCTGCTTGCACAGTGCTGTCCCCACTTGGGCCAGCTGGAGGATTCCAAAGGCCTATTTCTGGGTGGGAGAATTGAGTGATCTCCCAAGTTTAGGGAGTGGTGTCAGGCCAGCAGACTAGAGGGGGGTCGGGGGAGGGGGTCTGTCTGGAGCAGAGCGGTCTGGGATTTCCTGGCCTCCACGCTACGTCCGAGTGTTCTGTCCCAGTGCCCAGCCTGCTGGAGGAACTGGGTTCAGATCCTGGCCCTGTTTTCCCTTCTGGGAAACGGGAGCGTCTTGGGATGCTCTCTGAAGCCCCCTTCCTGGCCCTCGTGCCTGTGCACAGACCAGCAGCAAGGCCCGCGTGGCTGCTGCCAGATGGGGAGGACTTTCCCTGGGGTGGGAGCTCTGTCATTTTGGGGGCCAGTGGCTTCTGCTGCCTCGGGTCCCAGAGCCCCAGTCCTGCAGAATCCCGATCGAGGTCAGGCTGCCTGAAGGCTGAGGTGCGGGACTCCTGTGTCGGAGACAGGCTTCTTTCTTTCTGTGTGGGGATCCCCGTCCTTCCTCCTCTGGGCGGAAGGCAGTGAGGAGTGGGTGCTCTGAGAGCAAGTCCGGGAACTGTGTTGGGACCACACACGGACTCCCTCTTGGCACATTCCTCTGTGGCCCAAGAAGGATGGATGCCAGAGCTAAGGGCCCCTCCAGCACTTACTTGGGTTCTTCGTGCAAGAGCATCCCTGCCCCCTGCCTGCCTCCTGCCGGCAGCGCCCTCCTGTCTGGGGAGCGGTCCTTTCTGGGCCCCGCGGCCCCGGGGGCGGGGGGCGGGGGGGGGGGAAGGGAGGTGGGCAGCGGGAAGGAGGGAGAGTCTCGGCGCTTCCTAGGGAGGCTCTCCTGTGGTTTGGGGAGTGGGTGCGTGGCCTTGAGGCCGCTCCTCTCTGGGCACGGTGTCTAGAGTTGGGAGACAGGACACGGTCTTGTGACTGTACTTTCTCCCTTTCCGTGCAGCCCGCCAGGCTCTGTCCCCTTCCCTCCCTGGTAGCTTGGCAGCGATTTGCCCAAGTCACACGTCTGTGATTTCTTCTGAGGGAGGCTTGGCGCGAGAGGCCCGTGTCCCTTGTCACTTGGCCATCATCTTAAGCAGCCTGACTCTGTCTTCCCTTTTTAGTCGGCTGCAAGAGAGCTTTTCGTGTGAGCCCAGAGGATGAGAGTGCTCCTTCTTGCCCTGCCCGCCGGGACTGGGTGCCGTCTTGCTCAGCCGGGCCCCCGGGCTCTCCAAAGCTGGGCCTCCCCTGGGGGGGGGGGGGTGTGGGCTGTGCCTGGATCCTGATCCCAGGGAGGTGGCACCGAGAGTCCGGGGTACCAGGCCCGGCTGGGTGCACCAGGGGCTGTGCTGGGGTCGCCCGTGGAGAAGGCGCTCTGAGCAGCACGGGTCAAGGCCAGAGCACGCATAAAGCAGCAGACGCAGGGCCTGGCCTGCTCTGGGTTCCCCACTGACACGGGCTGGGCGTCCTCGGGTATTTAGTTTCGGGGATAACCAGAGAGGGGGTAGGAGATCTGGGAATGAGTGGGGCCTTGGAAGCCCAGAGAGGCTCCACGAACAGATCAGGGTCAGATGTCGCCTGAAGCCAGCGGTAAGGTGCACGTGGCCTGGGGTGGTCAGCGTGGAGGGGACTGGTGACCCTGGTAGAGCTGGTGGGGGCACAGGCAGGCAGTGAGGGTATGACACGGGACGTGGGGGGACGTGGTGGAGTGTGTGGAGGGGTCCTGAGAGGAAGGGATCTGTGGGCACCGTCTCATCGGTTCTCGGTCCCGGAGGAGGGGGAGTAGCTCCCAGGTGAGCCGGGACTCGGCGGGCCGTGCAGCCCGTGGGAGCACTCGAGGGAGCGTGGGGCCGCCTCCCGTCTGCGGGCCGAGGACCGAGCCGGGGTGGCCCGCGGCACCTCCAGAGGCCGTGGTCGTGGAAGACCCCTTCGCCCCGCCCCGTGATCTGCTCGGGGAGGCGTGAGGCCGTTCAGAGCTGCCAGCAGCCTGTTTGCAGGGGAGGCCCTGGGACCGCAGAAGGCCGGACAGATGCGCCAGGCGGGAGGGTATGACCCGGGTGGCCGCGTGCCGGGGCATCTGCTCCCCACCGCTCCCTTTCCCCACAGAGGCTAGTCCTTCAGGTGAGGGCTGGTATGGGCACTGCCCCCGGGCTGCGTTCTGCCTCAACGAGTGAGTAGTTGGGGACGAACCAGGGGCGACTGAACCGGGGGGGGGGGGGGCGCGGCTGGAGCTCGTGGTACCAGGTCCCCCGGTGGCGGGGAGGGGACTGGGAAGCCCTGGGCGAGGCCGCTGTGAGGAAAGCGGGAGGTGGGGAAATCCGGCACCCAGCCTCGGGACCTCCTGGGACGTGTGGGCTCGGGCCTCCCATGCTGCCGTCCCTTGTGAAGCAGGACCCCTGTGCAGGCAGGGCCTCTGTCGTCCTGCCCATCCAGCGCGTCACCCAGGCCCGCTCTGGATAGATGGCGGGCGGCCCCTCTCTCCATAGGATGAGTCAGACATCCAATAAGCATTTTCAGCATTTGTCAAGTTCCTTATTTCCCCAGCTTCCCTGACCCCCCCCCCCGCCCCTGCCGGCCACCCAACCACACACACCCACACCCACACCCACATACAACCACACAATCTGTTGCTCAAGAATGGGGGCGGGGCCTTCCATCCTCAGCGAGAGCAACCTGCTCAGTTTGGATTCTGAGCCACTTTGAAAGAGTTGAAACTTTGTCTTGAACTGATTGGGGCCTTTCCGGGGGGGTTTGGGGAGAAGAGTGTGGGAGGCTGGGAGAGGCCGGCAGGAGATGGCCAGGACATGGCATCCCATCCCTCCTGTGGTGGCCACATGGGGACCGTAACTGAGGACAGGTCTGCTCTGTAACCTGGAGTGTCGCTGCATCAAGAATGGCCCAGAGATCAGATTATGTTTCTCAGTTCAGAAGATTCTGGATTTTTAAAAAAAGTTTTTTTAATTTATCTTAGAGACAGAGTGTGAGCGGGGGGGGGGGGAGAGAGAGAGAGACACAGAATCCGAAGTAGGCTCCTGGCTCTGAGCTGTCAGCACAGAGCCCAATGTGGGGCTTGAACTCATCAACCAGGAGATCATGACCTGAGCCGAAGTTGGAGTCTTAACCAACTGAGCCACCCAGGCGCCCAGAAGAGTCTGGATTGTTGAAAACTAAATTATGTCAGCATTGTTTTTGAGGTCTGGGGCATTACTCTTGGTCAAAACATTAATATTTTTGTAGCAAGACGTGAATATTCATGTTAAGTGAATGCATTATGACCATCAATGGCCACATCAGTTCAGGTCACCTGTGGCTGCCAGGTGAGTTTCCTGTAAGCCTATGAAAAAAGTTTTCTCAGAGCTTTCTGTTGTTTGGAATTGTGGGTAAGACTTTCCAGTGGGAAGTGTGGTGCCCGAGAGCTGGAGGCTCCTGCTGGCCGTCCCTTTGTCCCTCAGGCTTCAAAGCCAGGTTGGGTTCTGGTCATTGTCTTGTGGGAGGTGGTCTGGTCGCAGACTTGCTGGCAGGGATGGCCCCTAAGGTGAATGGTGCGAGCTGGGCTGTGCTCTGGTGACAGTGAGTGACAGGTCTGGACGGAAAGCACCGCAGGCTGGTGTTACTCGTGTCTGGGAAACGGAGGTGGGCCGGGTCAGCCCGTGTTACCCTCACTTTGCCCTTTAGGTTCCCAGAGCAGCTGCCGGGGGCTGAGCAGGGGGCCGGTCCCCCGGGCTCCAGGGCAGCGAGGGCCTGGGCGAGAGTGACCAGCCTTCCCCAGGTGCGCTTGGTGGTGGGCGGGCCCTGGAGCATCCGGGAAAAGCAGCCCCCAGGATGGGCGGTTCACGTCGGCGGGCCTGCCAGGCAGCGTGGGTAGCTTCTGGCCCCCGCACCGCCGGGGAGACTGCACCCAGCTGGGGCGGAGCAGGGTTGGGGGGGGCTCCTGTAGCCAGGGGTGCGGGCTGCCCACACGCACCCACTTGAGGGCACTGAGGATAGGACAGGCTTTGGCCCCAGCCTCCCGCTGGACACCTGGAGCCTCTGAGCAGACACCACGGATTCTAGGCTGTGCCTCTTGACAGGTTGGATCCTGACACGAGATGACATGGAGTGTCCAGCTTGGGTGGGTGCTCAGCCCGGTAGTCCCGGTCCTCGGGCCTCACTGGCCCCTGGAGGGGACGCTGGGCAAGGCACCCTCTGCTCCTCCAGAGGGCAGTCTTCTCTGCAAGGTTCTGTGCTGGTACAGGTGACCCAGCTGTGAGGCCCCGCTCGCCCCTGCCCCCCGCTGTTTCCTTGGACATTCTGACCGAACGTGTGAACTAGTGTGGTTCCCGGGACTTCAGCTGTAGGTGGAACGTTGCTAGAGGCCAGGAGGAAGGACAGTGGCACCTGGGTGGTGCCATAACTCCCAGCTGGTACAGGCCCGCCCGGCTGCTTCCAGCTGCTCTGTTAGTGGCTTGATTAGCATCAGTAGTTGCAGGAGTTGTGGGCGGGGATTGTGGACAGAGCAGGTGGCTCCCTGCCCGGGGCAGCCTGTCCAGTCTCCCTGTGTGTGGGGACACAGCTGGTGGCCCACAGCCTCACTCACCCCTGACTTTGGCAGCATGGCCTTAGGTGCTTTTTCCGGTGGGGCAGGTGTAAGGTGGGCCCCGCGCAGCTGCGTCCGGACTCCCATGGGCAGGGGCAGCCATGGGAGGGCCCGAGAGCAGTGTAGCGACCCGACCGCCTTTGCAGTCCTTAGAAAGGCGACTCCTGAGTGGCTCAGTCAGTTAAGCAAGTCTGACTCTTGATTTCGGCTCAGGTCATGACCTCCAGGTTCGTGGGTTCGAGCTCTGTGCCAGGTTCTTGTGCTGACAGTGCAGAGCCTGCTTGGGATCCTCTCTCCCCACTCTGCTGGTGCGTGCTCTCAAGGAAAGGTAACTCTGCTGAGAGAAATTCAGGCCTACTGATTAACTTTCCCCCAGATCTGGCCTTGCCTGTGTCCACTCTAACCGTTCGGCACACACATCGGTTTGGGAAATGCCGGCTGAAACAACAGTTCCACAAATGGCTTTACTACAGGACTTGTCAGAGCCATTCCTAAACTACTGTGCGCTGTGATAGCAGGATGGGGAGTGTCCCCAAATTAACCAGAGAACCATCCCCCCCCCCTTTTCTGCAGTTTATCAGGGGAACTAGTGTGTTAGGACCAGCACCTGGGGAAGCGCTTCTGACCCTACTGTCTGTCCATTGTGGAAGTTTCAGGCAACCCTCTCCTGAGTGGGTAGGAAGAGAAGTGGGCATTGAGTTTGATTTTTTTCTTTAAGCAGTGGAAAACCAGGCCTCTTAGTCTGGTTTCTCACAATTCCCCCGCCTGCTCCGTAGGGCTGGGCGCAGTGTGGCCCTCAGAAGGAGCAGCATTAGCAGCTTTGGCATTTTGAGTGGAGGAAGCCTTCTGTTGGGTGCTTCTATTAAGCTGAACCTTCCTCTGCACACACAAGGTGGCAAAAGGAGAAGCAGCTGTTTCCAGAACATTCTGGAAGGACACAAGAGATCCTTAGCAGTGTTTGAAGACAGGCTGAGGCACGGAGGGGAGACCTGGCTTTAGGGAGACCAAGGCAGCTGGGGTGAACCCGGGGCAGGGGGCAGCGGAGTGGGGGCCTCCCCAGGAAGGAGTGGGTCAGGTCTTCCTGCTCACTACCCAGCTCCTGTCCCCCCGTGGAGCCCCTCCTTTATTCCTTTTCAGTACTCAGCCCTGGGCACTTTGGCACATTTGTTCCCGTGAAATCTGGTGAAGGGCCCTGTTCACTAAAAGCCCTCGGTTTGCATCGCGGTAGACGGCTAGAGGCGTCTCCGGCCGCCTGGGAGAGTTTGTTTCCACCGGCTTTTCCTCGGTCTCCGGAATGTGATGGGTTTCTCATTAGGGCTGAGCTGGCTATTGCGGCTCTCATTTTAATTTCAGCTGTGTCCAGAACTTTCCAGAAGTAGCCTAAGGAGCAGAGGCAGAGCTGAGCACACAGCTCTTGCTTCCCACCTTTGGGAGCGAGCCTTTGAAAAGGACCCTGGAATGTGAGTGGTGACTTCAGATCACTGAACCTGTGCTCGCGTGGCTCATGATTGGGGTGATAGCCCGGAGGCGCCTTGTGGTAATTGTGTGTTGTGCGCATTGAAGGTAAACTTGACCTTTTGAAGAAACAGATTAAATTCTCAAGATACGTGCTGCCTTTTTTTCTTTTATTTTTATTTTAAGTGATTTTATTTATTTTTGAGAGAGCACAAGCAGGGGAGGGGCAGAGAGAGAGGAAGACACAGAATCTGAAGCAGGCTCCAGGCTCTGAGCTATCAGCACAGAGCCCGAAGCGGAGCTCGAACCACGAGATCATGACCTGAGCCAAAGTCAGACACCTAACTGACTGAGCACACAGGCACCCTGTTAAGTGCTGCCTTCTTCCAGACGTTGTGAATATGGCTGATTTTAATTGTTCACTAAAATCTATTGTACCCATCCCCCAAGTCTGAATTCTAAACTTAATAAGTTTTTGGAATTTCCCTCTAAGGAATAGAAGAATAAAACTTTTCAACACTGGGGAGAAAAACTCTAAAATGATACGGTTTTCTTGGGTCTTGTTTTCAGAGATACAAGAATTTTTATAGAAACTAGCATTTGCTTCTTGTTCTTCCTTTTGTGACGGAGGAGAAAACACGGCAGGTTATGTGGCAACTGAACGTTCTTGTCTTTGTAAGTGGTAATTCCTGTAGGTAACGTAGCGGCTGAGAGCGGCAGCTAGCCTTCCCCTGGGTAAATGGGCATGTGTAAGAGGCCGGGGGTTTGTTGCTGGAGGGGTGAAGGCTGCTTCTGTGGACCTGGTCACCGTGAGGCACCCGGGGCCCTGGGTCCTCGCGGCCTCAGTCCCTTCTTGTGCTGGGGTGTGGGGTGGGTACAGAACTGGGTCCAGCCTCGGGCTCTGCCGGGGACCCTAACGCGCGTGCCCCCCCCCCCATTCTCTCTGCAGAGTCGGGGTTCTGGAGGACTCCTTCACCTTCCTGGGCATCTTCTTGGCCATCATCTTGTTCCCGTTTGGGTTCATCTGCTGTTTTGCCTTGAGGAAGCGAAGATGCCCCAACTGTGGAGCAAACTTCACTTAAAGGGAACAACACACCTGGCTTTCCTACATCCAGCTGTCTTTTTCTAATGTAAATGTCGTGTACAGTAGCTTTATTTGATTAAGCTTCCAGGACTGTTTTGTAAAGTGAGGCGGGATAGACGGCGTGCGCGTGAGCTGTGGTTTCGTGGGGCACAGGGGTCACGGCGTGGGGACGCAGCAGCACTGCTTTGGGGTGAATGACAACTCAATAAAGCACTGCTTCTATTTTTTGCAGTCTTCAATTTGAGAAAGGTGAGAAATACTGTTTTAAATAAATGAGATTCATACCATTGTTGACCTGGTTCTGCCTGGTGTGCACACTGCCACTTGTATAAATAAACTTGTGTGGACGTTGGAAATTGTTACCAGACTAGAATAACATACCCAGCGCCTGGCTTCAACACTGTCCATCGTGGCCGATCTTGAGCTAGTCCTCTGTAGGCATTCGCAGCTCCAGAGAATGTGCTTTTCGAAGTTTTATTATTATAAAGAAACATAATACCTTGACATTAGTCCATGCCCGGGGCCTGAGGCAAGCCCGCCTGCCCTCTGTGAGGCAGGTGGGTGCCCGCTGCAGCCCATTCCCTGGAGGTGCAGAACGGGTCCCTGGGTCCCCGCAGACCGCACCTAATAATCTGTAATGAAGCCAAAGGATCCCAGAGAGCGGAGCTCTGGAGACCAGGCCTCCGCCCGCCCCCCAGTTGAAAATGCCGGGCTTCTGTGAACCCTCCTCTTAGAGGAGCGGTGGACCACTTAACTAAAGTGGACGGTGTTTTCTTTCCTGGCTGGAGCGTCTCTTTCCTCAAGACAGGTGTACTGCCCGCCAACCACTCAGCCCCTGGAGAGCCCTCACACGGGTCTGACTCTTCAGCTCCTGGGGACCTCGTCTGGTTTGCCAACCCGGCCAGGACAGGAGCAAGAACGAGAAGTGGCATGCACACACACTGGTTTACCTGCGTTTGCCCAGGACTAGTTTCAAGTGTCTAGAAAAACGTTGATAGTTAACGGCGAGACCAAAGGGGCTGTGATAAAAAAACAGGGCCCTCTTCACCCACACACAGCGAATGGCCTGGGTGTGAGTCCTGATTCTGCACTCCTCCCAAACAGGGCCCGATCCCTGGCAGCCAGAGATCAACTCGGCCACTCGCTCCGAGGTCCCTTGGCACGGGACACCCGGGTTCTGAGGGCACAGGGCAGGTCTCGGGTGAAATACAGAACTTCCCATCCCGGCCGCTGAGACTCGGGCATATGGCTTTGTACGCGCTGTTTCGGGGCGTGCGTAGGTGTGTCCGTACCCGACTCAGAAATGGAGAAACTTGGACCCCAAGGGGTTTCAGAGTACACCAGCGATGGAGGCAGCTTTGGTCAGCCGGCTTAGCGAGAACGCCCTGGGTCTGCACACGCAGGGTCCTTACACGCGTGAGTGACGCCCATCACCTGCAGCACAGCCTGGTGTGTTTTCATTGGGGAATCCAGTCGGTGACTCCCAGCTACCAAAGTCTGTAGCTCTGGGGTTATGCAAGTACTAAACGTGGCTGTGACAGGGACAGGCAAAACACCTCCGTGCTCTGTAGCTCTGTCTAAATCAAGGGGAACTTGGGGATTTCTCCATCTTAGGTAGCTCTACATTTGATTAAACAAAAATTAAGAATTTTTAAGTTAAAAAATTAAATTTTATAGACTATTCATAATTTATATTGCTTAAAATTATGATTTGCATGCTAAGATGCAACTTTACACAACCTTTCCTTTAGATAATGTTATAACGCTAGATAAGAGCACATGCTTTTTAAAATAAAACTGTGCTCATTTCATGCAGAGAGCTGGTCACGAAAGCAGACTATCCCTGATTCTATTAAAAAATAATCACAGAATATTAAAAAAAATGATACAGTAAGGATTGGAACCAAATTTATGGTCTTCTGACAGAATGGGAAGAAAATATTTTCACTGATTTGAGTGGGTCACTAGACTATTATTAAAGACAAATGTATCAACCCAACTATGTTAAATTGAGAAAATGCGTCGATTTGCTCAAGTGGAATACATTTAAAATCAGGCACCCTTTGGCGAAGCTTTGCAACAGTTAAGCGCACACCAAACAACAAATCATTTTGCAAGTGAGAACTTAACGTCGGAGGGACTGGAGCTCCCGGCCTGCTCTTCATCGAATGATCGGTGCAGAGCGATCGTTTGTCACCGTCGGCCGGAGTTTCACCGTCGCGAAGGGGTTTTCTCCGCTGCAGGGGGAGAGGAAAAACATCTGCAGACACACTACAGGATGGGAATTGGGTTTTAGAGGAGCTGTGAACTACCGTCCTTGCTCTGTGAAGTTAGAAGCCTTCTGTATAAAACTCTGGACATTTTCTAGACACAGACGTTTCACGGTGGCAGTCCTTTCTGTGCACTCATGCCCACCCGTCACAGAACTCTCTAAGGCTGTAGATGCTGTAATGGGAGAGCCCACCTTTCTGTGGCCCTGTGTGGGAGGGGTTACGTGAGAGAGCCATAAGGACAAGGTCTGGATCAAGGTGCCAAATGCAACATGGCCGGGAGGCATCCCTTGGGGACCCAGGCAGAGGCCGGGCAGGCTTCCTGTGCTGTGAGAACAAGGCGGCCGCCTTCTCCTTGGACCCCATAGGCCTAAGGCACCTCGGCCGGGACACCTCCCCGACCCCCTGCCCCGGGCTGTGCACCTACCAAGACCCCCAGGAACACAGTTCAACGTACCTGAGAAAAGGAGGCTTTGCTGTCCCATTTGCGTCGTTCTGTGAGGAAGATAAAGATGAAGTTTATGGAAGGGTCATGAAACCGGGACATTTTCGATAAGACCTTAAAGCTAAAGATATCTAAAGCGCAAGGAGCAATTTATGGCTGATGCGTGTAAGCCCACCTGAGGTCATCTCAACGTCTAAAATCACCTAAGGGATAAGGGCAAGAACAGAAAACCGAAGACCGTGAGGGGCCCTCACAAGTGCTGGCATGTCTCAGGCCATGGAAGACCATGGTCCTTAAGCTGCCCAGCCATAGTGCCTACAACTGGTGTTTTGGGAGCCCAGTCCTGAATGAGGGAAGCCATGACAAACAGGAAGCAAAAATAAAACCTTGTTGGGTTTTGGTGCCCACAGATGTGCCAAGGGCTAGCCAGAGATGTGGTGGGAAGTTCCAGAAGATGAGACGACAGAGGGACAACACTGCCCTTGCCTTCAGGAACTAACAGAGCCTGGGGACTTGGGGGGTCTCCCAGTGTGGCCAGGGACCAGGGGTGTGTGTGCCTTCTGTCCTTCGTTTTATAAAGCTAGAAGGCTTTCAGAATTTGCTTTAAATCTGCTCTGGCTGTTGAAAAAAATCACTGGCCTGAGCTTGTGGGGCTAATTCTCAGATGGCTGCCCAGGAGAGGGCAGTGTAATGCCGTCTGAGCCACAGGCCACCAGACCAGACCAGACTCCTGGAAGCTCCCAGGATTCCCAGTGGCCTCAGGGCATACGGGCCTCTGAACACTGAAGGATAGATAGCTCTTCTCACTTCTGGTTGCCAGCCTAGGGTCAAAGGCCATAGTTGGAGGCCAAAGCCCAGGTCAGGGCTCTTTCTGCATGGCTCCTCTTGGGTTGTGGACACAGATTCTCAAAGTACAAGAGAGGCTGTGGGCACTGGGGCTACTTCAGACCTGTGCCTGCTGTCTCTGTGCCTCTGAAGACCTCTGAGCGTGCTTTGAACCTCGAGACCAGCAGGTAAGTAAGGTCATTCTGATGGGGAGCCCCAAGCACCTGAAGGCAACCCCAGTCAGCCTTGTGCCCCAATTCAGTGTCTACCTTTTCTAGTTTATTTGAGAGAGAGACAGGAGAGTGAGTGGGGGGAGAGGGACAGAGGGGAAAGAGAATCCCAAGCAGACTCCAAACCCTGAGCCCCAACACAGGGCTCCATCCCACAGCCCTGGGACCGTGACCTGAGCCAAAATCAAGAGTCGGATGCTCAACTGACTGAGCCCCCCAGGCGCCCCTGTGTCTACTTTTCATCACAGATGCACACAGCGGCTGCCCTGCTCAGCATGTCCTAATAGGGTTTTAAATGGCTGCAAAATGATTTCTTCCTACTAGGCGTGCTGAGCTTCCCCAGCAGGCCTCAGAGCAAGTCATTTGGGGGTAGCGCTCTCGTTCCGTGACGGTTACAGGCTAATTTATGACTTACTGAAAAAGCACCAGGATGCCTGCCCTGCAATGGCACGTGTGCTCAGTCCGCTGGCAATGGCATGTTGCCTAGAGCAGACAGCCCGTGCGCAGAGGCACGAGCTCACGCAGCAGAGAGGCCTCCAGTGTCCTCCCTCCTGGCCTGGAAAGCACACTTCCTGCAAAGCCAGGTGTGGCTTCTGCCCGTCTTGCACTTGGCCGCAGAGGCACACTCGGCCCTCTTGCTCCTTGATAACTGTCTGGAAACCACCTTCCTGCGGCCTTTCCCGGGAGCACGTTCTGTCCCTGCCGTGTGCGTCCTCAAGTCTGAGGAAAGCTCCGTGCGCTCTGAACTGGAAACCAGAAACAAAACCCTCCCTGGAGCACCTGCCAGCCAGACTCAGCCTCAGAGGGAAAACTTTGGGGCCTGTTCCCAGGAGGGCCTCCTGAGTCCCGACTGACCCAACTGAACTTTAAAATTTATTTAAGTAATCTCTACACCCAACGTGGGGCTTGAACTCACAACCGTGAGATAAAGCGTCACATGCTCTACCGATGAGCCAGCCGGGCGCCCCTGACCCAACTGAACTTTAAAACGAGTTTAGCCACATGTTCACAGGCTGTGCCATTTGAGTACTCGGTCCAGACATTTGAGAGAAACAAAAATGGCTGCAGAGATGCAGCACAGTCGACCCTAAAGTGACAAGTGACGACTCCGCTGTGAGGAAGGAAGGTGAGAGTAACTTGGGACAGCCCAAAGCTATTTAGTGCCGGGCAAACCCGGGTCCTGGTGTGGTACGTACCCCGCACACACCCTGGCCACCCCACACGCGTGCACGTGGACACCAAAACCCCACCGGGATACTCAGAGCAGCCCTGACGGGCCAGCCTCAACATCTATCAACAGGAGAAGGGACAACAGCCTTCTATCCAGTGGATGGGTCCACGCAGTGATGGAGCGCCACAGGACAGCCCGCTGCGTGGTTCGGTTCCTCTGAGGGCCAGACCAGATGCGCTGTCACGGGGTCCGAAGTTGGGGCCGTCTGGACTGAGAAGGGGCAGCGCCCCGCGCGCGCCCCCCCGCGCCGCCCGGCGGGGGGGTGGCCCTCTGGGGGGCTGATAATCTAGGTCTTGCTCTGGTGCTGGTTATATGTAGCTGCTTTGTGAAAAGTCCTGCACTTTCCTGTATATGGCATTCTTGAGTGTCTGCTTTTAGAAAAACAGGACATTTTCAGAAAGGTTTCTCCTCTCTTTAACGTACTTCCACTAAGCCCACTCCTGTGTTCCCTTTCCTGCCAGTGAAGGGCACCCCCGGCCGTGTGGCGCTGCCCTCATTCAGTCTGTTAGGAAGGCTCATGTTGTGCTCAGAAGCGTCTGCGGAACCGTCCCTCCAAGCTGACCACACGACCCCGTCCCTTGCGCTGGGCCAGTGCCCCAAGCCCGTCTGTCCATCCTGCCTGCTGCCTCCAAAAGCTCCAACTGAACCTGTCCCTCCACAGCCTCCCTGAGGCTGAGTCATGGGGTTCGGGTCTTCTGGTCTCTGCGTTCCCCAATCTGTCTTTCCCTCTTCCAAACAGCAAAGTCTCTAGAGGCCTTTCTTGGTCCTGCGTCCCTGGACCGGACTGGTCTTGATACGCCTCCTGCTGCCCCAGGGCCCCTCTGCACAGGCTGCAGGTCGTGAGCCACATTCTCCACACGCACAGTGCAGGGCACACAGCACATGCTAGAGCAGGTCTGTGGAGCTGAGCTCCCCAGGGTCCTGCAGCCCCCCGGCAGAAAAACTCCTTCTACAATGTGGGCCTTGCTCTGAGTCAGCAGTACGTATCCCGCACTTTTCTACAGACTTCACAAAGGCCGGCACCTATGGCCTCAGAGGCACAGCCGGTTGCATGTTCTGTGTCCCCTTCTGGCAAGCAGCATGGTGCTGGTCTGGAGTGTACTCAACACGACAGGAGGTGATCAAGTGACAAAACCAGGCACCACGAGGGGCTAGGCGTGTCATTATGAGCGCGGAAAAGGTTATCCGTGAGACAGTAAGGGCAGTGAAGGCCTTGGGCCTGGTCAGCAAGATAACCCATAACCAGCTTATTTTGACCCAGTACGAACAGGCAGAGTAGGGCAGATCTTGTGATTCCCCCAGAAAACAACACCCAAGTCCACCTTGAGTGGGCACTTGCTGCCACGTGGTGTCCATCCATCTTCCCCTTCCCACTAGCCAGGCTTCTGCTTGGGTGTCCACCACATGCCCACGTACCTGAAGGCAACTACTTGGTCCCGGCTTATGGGCGGTCCAGGTCAGCATAAGACCACCCCACACAGTCGTCCTCCTGGTGGTAGGCAGACACTCAGATGAGACAGGGACTTCTGTGGCCCAGTGAGAATGCTGAGGGGGGTGACCTGTGCTCTCTGCCCACTGGTGATACGGAGCCCATGTCCCCAGAAGACAGGGTGACTGATGAGAGAGCCCTGAGGGAGGCCTTGCTATACCAACCCTCTCTGGGCTGCTGTTTCCATCAGATAGTTCCTTCCTCTCTGAAGCTGCTGGAAGTCAGCTCTTACCTGCAACACGGGCAGCCCTGATGCTGGTTTTAATTTTTGATGTCTGTTTATTTTTGAGAGATACAGCGCATGAGCAGAGGAGGGGTAGAGAGAGAGGGAGACACAGAATCTGAGGCAGGCTCCAGGCTCTGAGCTGGCAGCATAGAGTCAGACGCGGGGCTCAAACTCCTGAGCCATGAGATCATGACCTGAGCCGAAGTCGCACAAATGACTGAGCCACCCAGGCGTCCCATCCTGATGCTTGTTTTAGATGTTAACAGCTAATGCCAATCCTCAACGTGGGCTAGACTGATCTCACGAATCACAACCTCTGAACTAGTTCAACCCCTTTATTCCTAAAATGGGGACACTGAAGGCCAGACAGGGAAGAGTCAACTACCCTGGGGAACCAAGGTGTCCCCTGTGGAGAGGAGAAGCAAAAAAAAAACCAAAAAACAAAACAAACCAAAAAGGCCACACTCCGGGCCCTCCCTCAGACACACTTGTGGCTTGCACAGGGCAGTGAATGCTGAGCTTGAGAAGCAAATGTATGTGGAGGAGAACTTAGTTTTCAACAGCTCTTTCAAGCCTGGTTCTCTGATTATTTAACAGCCCTGTGCAACAACAGAACGTGGCCATCAGACCCTCCAGCTTCAGTCCCAAGGACCACTCCCCCAAGCCCTCCAGGGAGAAGTCGGTGTCTCAGAACATCACAGGGTAGCTACAGAACTGTGGGGCTGGTGGGCCCAGGAACATTGTATGGTAGGCAGCTCCCAGGATTGGGTGTTTAGTATACTTAATTAAGCCTAAGAATCCTGGTGTTTTAAGACTACATGTAACTGACAATAACAGTTGTACATAAAAATTAAGTATAAAAGTATTAAGATGCTTTGCCAGCTGCCATGGATCTCAGCATCTGGCTGAGACAGAACATACCTTTCCCCAACATCATCAGCTGGTTTAAAAATTTTAGTTTAGGAAAAATAAATTATCAGCCTGGCTGGGCATAAAAACTTTTGAGATACAAAATCCCAGGACCGCGTACCAGGCAGGCCTGAGTCATG